CTGTAACCGGGGCTCAGGTTGAGCCCAGGAGGGGAGGATACGGCAGGCCTATGCGGCGTCCCATACCGTCTAAGTAGGGTCATCAGAAGCTTCCATTGGGTCTCAGAATTAGAACTGACTAGAGGGCATTATAAGCAGCTTGGGGAAACTCCCAGAGAAGCCAATTCTGTGCCTCAGTTGTTTTATGGATACTATACGTTACCCTCAGGCCGGTTTTAATTGTTTTTGGCCAAATAGTCTTTTAGGTCGTATAACTCTGGTCCATCCACTTGCTGTACAGAGGTAACTCGTGGCTGCTGTGATGCTAAACACAGTGACATTGATGTGTCAAATGTGATAATGGTCACCCATGGTGGATAGTGTTTGGTGGCGCTCCCCGATTAAAACAAGCTTGGAAGCAGGAGTGGCACCCACTTCTGAAATAGCTTGCCTCCAGAAACCCTATGAATCTGGAGAAATGATGAAAGTTATACAAGTGTTCAGGTCTTTCATTCATAGGGTCGCTATGAGTCGTCTATGACTCGACGGCACTTAACAACAACATATGTTACCATGGTTACATGTACAGAGAATTTACTCCAGCCTTGGCCTTCATCCTTGACAGAGACCCTTCATTAGTATCTTTGGTGAACACCTGTGCTTTCCATATCCTGGCCTGTTGTGGTTATTGTGAACCATCAAGTTGGAACTGACCCATAGCTGGCCCTCCAGTGGGTTTTCAGAGGCAGTAAATCACACGGGAAGAGACTGCCCCTCCTTCTCCCGTGGAGCAGATGGTGGATTCGAACCGTGTACTTTTGGATTGTAGAGCAGATTCTTCCTGCTAGGCCCCCAGAGTCCCCTCTGGGAACAACAGTCATTAACATCTCCGCACTCTGGGACCTCACATTCTCTCGGATCCTCTCCATGACCCCCTGGGATTGGAGTCATAACAACTCCTAGGGAGCTCTGGTGGCCTAGTGGCAAGACGCTGCACTGCAATCCCAGAGGTACACTGTTCAAATCCACCAGATGCTCTGCTGGAGAAGGAGGGGGTAAACTCCTCCTGTACCAGTCAGATCTGATTTGACAGTACATGTAAAAATAATACAATAAAAAATTTTTTAAAAAAACAAAAACAACTCCTGTCTAACAGACAGGCGCACTGGGGTTCAACGGGGCTGCGTGAGGCTCACCCAGCTTCACACATCTGCTCTGTGGTCAGGCTGAAGCACGGCAGCACGACAGCGACCGTGAGAGTGGCCAGGGACCCAGCACCCCTGCAGGCACGTGGGTCCCACCTCATCAGGAGCCTCCACTGGGTTTTCCGGACTGTAATGCTCACAGGGGGAGATGACCTGTCTTCCCCCATGGACCTGGGAAGGCAACTTCCAGCCTTGTGACTAGCAAACCCAGTCTGTTCCTCTCTGAGTGCAGAGCTGTGAAGATCGTTCCCACTGCAGCTCACGGGGTTGCTGGGAGCTGGAACCAGCCAGCCTCTGACATCAACAGGGACTTATAAAGTGCACACCCATGTTTACTGCGGTTTTGTTCACAATAGCAAAGAGCTGGAAACAACCTAAGTGCCCATCAACAAACGAATGGATAGAGAAGGTGTGGTATATTCACACAATGGAATACTATGCAGCATTGAAAAACAAGGAACTCATGAAATATTATGCAAAATGGGTGACCCTGGAGGACATTATGCTGAGTGAAATATCTCAGTCACAAAAGGACAAATACTGCATAGGGCCACTGTTGTAAAACAGGACTGATATAGGGGTTGGAGGGAACCTAAGAAAAGAGAGGATAAATAATGTATACTGCATTGAAACAGATGAGGGAGAGAACCGTTCAGGAGGAATATAGGATTAGGTGTTATCATCATGATAAAATTCCTTAAAAAGAAATGCATAGTAAAGTGGACTGGACTTGGGGGGGGGAGGATTATATAACAATAAAATAATTTTTTTTTCTTTTTCAAGGAGAAGAATGAACGGGGGCGGGAGGTGTGGGTAGGGAAGAAAATGTGCAACAATGAATGAATGGGGGGAAATTAAGTGGAAAGAATATGCTGTAAAAATATATGTGTTGCGTTAAAAAATCATCAATTAAAAAAAGAACAATAAAAAAAACTTAAAAAAAAAGAACAATAAAAAATGGTAACATAAAGTGTTTTGGAAGGAGCCTGGTAGCACAATGGGTTAAGCATTGAGCCACAAGCCAGAAAGTTGGTGGTTAGAAACCTCCAGGTCCCTTGGGGGGCAAATGTGACCGTGTGTTTTCATGAGGGTCACGGCCTTGAAACCCCTGGGGTCACCTGTACCCCACAGGGTCACTCTGTGTGAGAATCTGCTCCTCAGCTGTGAGATGAAGGTGTTTGAGGTCTCAGCATCAGGGCTGGCGTCGTCCCTGCGTGTGGAGCCTGCCCTGGGCTGCGAGGTGGCACAGTGGAGTCAACATCGGATTGCACAGCTCAGTGTTTTCAATCGACTGGCCGCTTCATGGGGGAAACTGAGGCCACATCCGCCAGACGCACAACGAGCCCTCCGGCTCTACACCTTCCTTCCCGCTCCACTGAGGCTGGTTTGGAGCTTTGAGTAGAAAAAGTGTCAGGAACGGTTGTCCCCTCTGGTGTGTTGGCAGCAGAGTGACACCCCTTCCCTTAACACAGGGTTGTGCTTGCCGGCTGCCGATGGGCTGAGTCCAACTCCGCCCGGTGTGCGACACCCAGAACTGTGCCACGGGGTGTCCAAAGCTGTCACCTTTCAGAATCACAGTCTGTCTTCCACGGTGCCTCTGGCAGGATTTGAACCACTGACCTTTCAGTCAGCAACTGAGTTCATGAACTATTTGCATCCCTATCCTCCCCCTCAAAAACATCCCCAGTACTGTCAAGTCACATTCAAGTGGTGGAGGCCCTCCCTGGGGTTTTGGAGGTCATGGGTTAACAGGAACACGCTGCCTCATTTGTGCTCTGGAGCGACAGGTGGGTTCGAACAGCTGAGCTTTTGGGTAGCAGCGTAATGCTTATCACACCATGCCACCGGGGCCCCTTGTGAACCACACATAAGCCTGCACCACCCACCACACCCGGGGCTCCTTGTGCGGACACCCGCACCCCCCACCTCCACCAGGTCGACCTGACTCATCGTGACCTTCTGCTCGGTTCTGGGCAGTAAATCTTCGGGGGATGGGAGCAGCTGGTGGAGCAGCTGGTGGATTCAGACTGTTAACCTTTTGGTGAGGGGATCAATACATTTACAAGTACGCCCTTTTATTCAGAGTTGTTGTTGTTGTTGTTGTGTGCCTTTGAGTCAGAACCAACCCCCAGCTGACCCTCCAACAGGTTTTCAGAAGCATTTGATCACCTGGGAGGCGATTGTCTATCCTTTTCCCGGGGAGCAGCTGGTGGATTTGAACCCTGTGCCTTTGGGATTGCAGTGCACTTTCTTACCATTGGGCCCTAGGGGTTGTTATTTCAGAGAATCATCTCATCCATTTGAACCTCCCTACCGTATACCTATTTGGGAAATTTGTGAGCACAAGACCCCTTGATGTTTGTGCAGAATAAGAAGGAAACACAGACACGGGCAAAGAACAGCCTAGAAAGGAGAGTTTATGAACAGGGGAAAGCCTTTAGCATCTCTTATTGTCTCCCCCCAAACTCGGCCTTAACATTTAATGATTGGCCCTCCCAGTAGAAGGGACTCCACACCCATATCCTGCGGGCACAGAAGAACCCAGGGGGGAGTTGAGAGGAAGTGGATGAATGATTCACTCCCATTCACGTCAGCGACAAGCAGTCTGAGCAGGTAAGGCCCGGTTCAAGCACATCCCGAGACCTGAGCAGGTAAGGCCCGGTTCAAGCACATCCCGAGACCGACCAGCTTCTGTTCTGTTTTCGAGTGCTCAGCTCACCTTGGGAAATCAGGATGGCTCAAGCCGGCCACCTGCAGAAAGTGGTGACGCTGGACAGAGGTCACTGCAGATTGTCCATTCATCACTGACTTCATCACAAGACGACTGCTAGACGTTCAGGGAGAGCCCAGCAAGAAGGTGAATGTTAACAGCCTTCTCCTCAGACACAGCCACCCACAACGTCCAGTCACTCACCTTACCCCGTGAAAACGCCTCCCAACACGTCTCTATGGAATCGAATGACAACAGCAACTTGGGGAAAGAATGCACGGGAAAGGAGGCTGAGGATGGTGGGGCAGCTGGTAGGCGATAACCCACCCCTGGGCGGCCCACGGGAAGCCACTGAGCTGACGTTGGCTCTGCTCTGTGTGGTTTCATCAACAACCAGATAAATGCAACACAAAACGAAGGATCCCCTTGGTCCTGTTTGTATTTGAGGAGACAAGTAACATCTCAGGTTGGCAGGGAGGAAGTCCCGGTAAATCATTGAGTTCATTCCTTCTCTGGGAGAGAGAACAAGATCCATTTGGCAGCCAGGCCTGTTGATAGTTAAAAGTACAGAACTCCAGGATAAGGGAGCTCTGGTGGCCTAGTGGCAAGAAGCTGTACTGGAATCCCAAAGTTACAAGGTTCAAATCCACCAGATGCTCTGCTGGAGAAGGAGGGACAATTTCCTCCTGATTTGATGGTACATGCACAAAAAATAATAAAGTAAATTTTTTTAAAAAAAACACACCATAAAAACCAGTTCTTTTAAAAGAAAAAAAGTGCAGAAGTCCAGCAACTCCAGCGCCCCCAACACCTGTAGACCCCCTCCCATCACACATCTGTCACTGACCCTCACATGCAGTCCACTCAGCCAGAACCTTCCCCAGAAGTTTAGGGGGTGAACTCTGTGTCCACCAGAGCGAGGAGGCTGTGAGCAGGAGAGGGTGACCTCCAGGTCCCCTCCGCCCCTTCTCTGGAGTTGTGTTTACTTGCCATTCTGTTTCCTTGATAAGCCTGTCTGTTCTAATGTCATTCGCTGCACTGAGGTCCTGCTGGACGTCAGAGTGGTTTCACACACCGCTGGCCATGCCGATGTAAGTAAACAACCCTCAGAGGGTGGAAACGGGAATGTCTTCAGGCCTCGGCGTGGTCTGAGGGCGCCCAGGACGCTTGAGCCTCAGAGGTGGGATCTTGAACTTGGTGTAGAACTTGGGGAGCGAGGGGCTGGAGAAATAATACACCAGGGGGTCGAGCATGCTGTTGATGTAGGTGAAGCTGAGGGTGACGTGGAGGGCCAGGTGCACGGCGGGGTCACAGGCGCTGGCGGGCATGGCCCACAGGAAGTAGAGGCGGGCCAAGGCGCTGGGCAGGTAGCCCACGACGAACACGGCAGCCACCACCATGATGAAGCGGGCAGCCTTCCGCGTGCGCGCCTGCCGGGCCAGCTGTGGCCGCCGCCTCAGGCTGCCCACGACCCGCACGGAGCAGAAGAGGATGACACCGAGGGGCAGGAAGAACTCCAACTGGAACATGATGTCGTGCCAGCCATTGGCCGAGTCCATGACGAAGCTCTCGCACGAGATGGCCGGGCCCTGCGCGCACAGGTGGCTCTCGGTCAGCAGGTACAGCGTCCCCAGGATGACCACGGTCCACAGGCCGCACACCAGGCCGGCCGCCGCCCGCGTGGACAAGGCGTTCATGGCGTGGTGAGGGTGGACCACCTTGAAATACCTGTCCACGGCCACCACGGTGAGGAAGACGATGCTGCCCGCCCTGTTGGTGGCCAGCATGAAGAGCACCAGCCGGCAGGGGACGTCCTTGAAGACCCAGCGCCGGTGGCGGCGGTAGTAGTCCGTCCGAAAGGGCAGGCCGACCATGAGGAGGAAGTCAGCCACCGCCAGGTTGAACAGGTAGATGGTGCTGGGTCTCCAGGTCTTCACGTGAAAGCAGAAGCCACACAGGGCGAGCCCATTGCCCAGGGCACCCAGCACGAAGGCCAGAATGAGCAGGGGGGGCATCACCCGGGAGATGGTGTCGCCCTCGATGACACAGCACGACCTGTTGTCCATGGTGCAGGCAGAGCCAGCACTGAGGTCCAGAGCAGTCCTCCCCGGAGTCGCGCAGGCACCAATCTGGAAGCTACCACTCACCCAGCCAGCTGCCCCTGCGTCTCCATTGGCCTGGGATGCAGGAGCCAAACCCACCTCCACCTGCCACAGCCTGGAGAGCCCGCCGGGTATCTTCTCTGGAAGCTGGAGCAGCAGCTGGCCGGTGGGCCCGTGGCCGGCCCGCGGACAAGCACAGTTTCATCCGAGGGGTCGCTTCTGCAAAGAGGAGGACGGGACCGTCATTTCAGGCGGCCAGGAGGTCTGGCCACAGGAACCCTCTGTGCCGCTGCACTGGGGCTGGGGCTGAGCTTGAGGGCTTTGCAGAGCTGCCCAGAAGGCATGGGGGGGGGGAAGCTTGTTTGTCATCCCTCCCAGGGGAGAAATACAAACAATTCCTGCAGTCGTTCTGGGCCGCAGCCTCGGCCCTCCCCCTAACCTTTGCCTGACTGTGGGCCTCTCTCCCCAGCCCCCCGGGGCTGCCTCCGGGCGGTGCCAGAGATGAGGCTGTGCACCGCAAACCATTTCCTGAGTCCAGCAAGCCTAAAAATAAAGCCCCGGACAGCCTGGGAAGGGGCTGCGGAGAAAGGATGGTCCATGGTCCGAGAAGGGGGCTGGAGAAAGGCCCTGTCCCCTCTGCCCTCCTGCCTGCCTCCCTGTCCTCTGCCTTTCACATCCTCCCGCGGCCTCACGGAGACCAGTTGCACAACCTGGAGCAATGGCTCTGAGACGCACGGCCGGTGTCCAGTGGTCACTGCAGGGCCTCGCTGGCCCCAGACCCTCCCTCTGCTGGGAGGCAGAGCCTGGCCTCCATCCCCTCACTGGCTGCTCCCCAAGCCCAGCACTTGCTAAGTCAGCGCTGACCCCATTTGTAGGGGAAGGGGAAAGCCCGGTGGGGACTGGGGGACTTGATCCAGGAGGGTGGCTCTGAACCAAGAACCAGATAGAAAAACAAGCTGAGTGGTCCTGGGAGTGCAATGGTTAGTGCTCCCCTGTCAGGGAAGGGTGGGTGGTTCAAACTCCTTGGGAGAGACTGGCCCACCCGCTTCTGCGAAGATTAAGTCAAAACCAAATTGAAGGCCACTGAGTTGTTTTGGACTGGTGGCTCCCTTCTGTTGTGTCCCCGAGGCTGTGGGGTGTCTAGGGGAGGAGGTGGCCCTTCTGCCTCCGGTGGACAGCTGGTGGGTTGGAACCACTAACCTTCCAGCTAGCAGCCCGACACTTAACACGCTATGCCCCCAGAGTTCCTCGTGTCAAAGCCAAGCACGTCCCCTCTGGCTGGCAGCAGGCCTACCAGGCAGCAGGTGGGAACCTCCCCCGGGTCTGTGCCACTCTCGTGTCTCAGCTGTGCTGGGGACCCGCTATCACCCCCTCTGTGTCGCCATGCCAGTGTGGGGAGTCTTCCTCACCTTTGCTGACCTTGCATCTTTCTGAGCGTGATGTCCTGTTCCAAGAGTGATTCCACCTGACAACATGTTCAAAACACAGGCAACGAAGTCTCCTGATTTTCACTCTCGGTCTTCTAAGACAGACTTGCTCATAGTTCCGGAAGGGCGAGGTGTGCTCCATGTTCATTCATTACCAAGGCCACGGCTCAAAGACATCAGTCCTCCCAGGCTTCCTTGCTCCTGGCCACATGTGCTTGAAGCAGCTGAAAAGTCATGAGTTCCCTTTCCTCCAATGCCCTCACTAAGGTATCTCTGAGATCCTTCCGGGCCAAGGTCGACCCACACACCCCCCCTGCAGGCAAGTCTATAGTTCTCTAGAGCTGCAGTAAGTCCGGGTTCACTCCATGGCAACTGATGTGGTTTGAGCGCGAATTCTTCAAGGGGCCCTGGTGGCACACAGTGTGTTAGGTGTTGGGCTGGTAACGGAATGGTCAGACACTGCCGGCTGCTCTGTGGCAAAAGGATCAGCCAGTCTCCTCTTCTTCTTTTTATTTTAATATTAATTTTAATGAAAGTTTACAGAGACTTAGGATTTCCATTCCTTCATTGTTGCACTTTTCTCCCTGCCCACCCCTCCCCTTTCATTCGCTCTTCTCTTTGAAAAGTGAAAGAAAAATTCTTTCATTGTCATACAATCCCCTCCCCACAAGTCCACTACACTGTGCAGCCTTCGTTCTGGATTCCTGTCATGACAATAATATTTAACCATATATCCCTTGTAAACAGTTCTCTTCCTCATCTGTTTCAATGCAGTATACATTATTGAACCCATCTTTCTCAGTCTCCCCCCGCAACCCCGATGTCAGTCCCGTTCTACAACAGTGGCCCTATGCAATATTTGTCCTTTTGTGATGAGATATTTTACTCAGCGTAATGTCCTCCAGGGTCACCCATTTTGCATAATATTGCATGAGTTCCTTGTTTTTCAGTGCTGCATAGTATTCCATTGAGTGAGTATACCATAGCTTCTCTATCCATTCGTTTGTTGATGGGCGCCAGTCTCCTCTTGTAAAGAACCCGATGAAAGAGTAGCTGCGGGTCAGAACCGGCTCCCGCCTGTGGGCTAGGGCTTGGGTGGTGCTGTGGACTAAGCACTTGGGAGCTGCTCCTATGAGCTCTGTGGTTCAAATCCACTCATCAGTCTCTGGAAGAGAGATGAGGCTGCCTGCTTCTGTAAAGGCTCATGGCCTCTGAGGTCCTGTGAGGGGCAGTTCCACTCTGTCCGATAGCGTCTCTGGGGAGCTCTGGCGACTTAGTCCTGAGGAGGTACACTGCCAACTCGAGGCCTGCGGTTCAAATTCACCAGCTGCTCTGAGAGGGAAAAATGGGTAATCTCTTTCCACATGACTCAGCGGACAAAGGGTTTGCTTTGGGCTTTTGTGCTTTGGTTTGAGTGACATCTGTCCAGAACCTGTGGACATGGGCTTGTTTGAGAATAGTGTCTTTGCAGAGGTAATCAAATTCAGATGTGGTCATCCTAAATTAGGAAGAGGAGGAGCCAGGCTGGCTGACAATGAGCCAAGTGCCACAGAGCAGGACCATCACACAGGGTTTGCAGGATGGTGTCTTCACAGAAGCAGATCACCTGAGCTTTTCTCTGTGGCCGCAGGCAGCCCATTGGGAAGAAGCTGAGCTGCAGTCTCAGAGGCCTGTGGTTCAAACCTGCCACCTGCTTCACGGGAGAAGAACAGGCAGTGTCCGCGCATGCAGCTTAATGGCTCAAAACTCGCTGAAGGGTCAGCCAGGAGCTGTCTCCAACTCGACAGCACACAGCAGCCACAATCACAGGACCGAGACAGAGCAAGGTTCAGATCCAGTGTTCACAAGGCCACTGTGAGTTCTAGTCGCCTGCATGGATCACAAAAAATTGTGGCTGGGGAGCTCTGGTGGCCTAGTGGCAAGGAGCTGCAACTACAATCCCAGAGGCACATGGTTCAAATCCACCAGATGCTCTGCCGGGTGAAGGAGGGACAATCTCCTCCTGTACCAGTCAGATTTGATTTGACGGTATACTTACACAAAAATGATAAAATAAAATTAAAAAAATTGTGGCCCACCTTGAGAAGGACGGGAATCCTAGAACACTGAATTGCACTCATGAAAAACCTAAACTTGGGTCAGGAGGCAGCCATCAGAACAGAGCAGACACACTGCATGGTTCAAAATCAGGGAAGTTGTGCATCAGGAATGCATCCTCTCTCCAAACCTTTTCAATCTATATGCAGAACAAATCGTTCTGGAGGCTGGACTTTATGAGGAGGAACGAGGCGTCAGAATTGGAGGAAGACTCATCAACAATCTGTGCTGTGTAGATGACATAACCTTGCTTGCTGAAACAGAACATGAGACATTTGCTGTAGAAGGTCAAGGACTGAAGCCTTCAATATGGATTGAAGCTCAACGTCAAGAAAACAGAGATTCTCACCACTGGGTCAATTGGCGCCATCCTGATAGATGGTGAAGAGATTGAGATTATTAACAGCTTTGGTTTGCTTGGCTCCACAATCAACACTCTTGGGCCCAGCAGGCAGGAGATGAATTGCATTTGGAAAGTCTGATGTCAGAGACCTCTCCAAAGTACTAAAGAGCAATGAGGTCAGCCTGGAGACTAAGGTGCACCTGATCCAGGCCATGGTCTTTGCAATTACTTGCTATAGCAAGCTCAAAGAGCTGGATAATGATCAAGGATGATAGAAGAACAGATGCCTTTGAGTTGTGGTGCTGGAAAGGAGTGTTGAACATACCATGGACTGCTAAGAGAACAAATAAATCTGTCTTGGAGAAGGTCAAAGCAAGCTGCTCCCTGGTGGCTAGGGTTCTGAAGCTCTGTCTCACATACTTTGGGCACATGGCCAGGAGGGACCACTCCTTGGGGAAGGACGTCATGCTTGGGAGGGTGGAGGGACAGCACAGACCTTGGATGAGGTGGATTGATTCAGTGACTGGGGCAATGAGATTAAGTCTGTCAGTGATGATGAAATTGGCTCAGGATAGGGCAGGCTTCAGAGCTGTTGTACACAGGGTCACCGTGAGTCGGCATTGACTCGATGGCACATAACAACAGAAACAAGCTGCCGTCTTGGAGTGTTGTTTGTCAGTACACCACGAGCAACAGAGTCAGCTGCTGGGTCGTGTGTACACAACCCTTGTTTACAGAAGCAGTCACAGAACCATTTCTAACCCGTTCAAAGCCCTGATCCCAAACATCAGTTAGTATCTTGGTGCACTGCACCACCAGGGCACCTGTACACCATAAGTACCGAAAGAAACATTTCCATCCTTATTCTCAGTTCCGGCATCCAGTGACGCTGTGAGTGGATAATCCTGTCCCCTGACTGTTCCTGTCCACCAGTTCATACTAGGAGTGGGGTCGTCCCTTCCTCCCCCCACTCACCACAACCAGCTTCTCCTCAGGTAACTCTCTGGCTGTTACTGAACACAAGGGGTTCTTTCTGTAGTCAATTGTCAATAAGACAGACAGATTGCAATACCCATATGCACCTTATTACAGATCTG